CGCAGGGAGGGCGGCGCAGCTCCGCTCCGCTTTCCTTAACCCGGCACATCTCATTCGCTCCATTAACGACCCCGAGCACCCCCTCACTCTGGAGGAGCTGAACGTCGTCGAGCAAGTGCGAGTGAAAGTGAGATCCCCGCTAAGATGCGCTTGTCCCGCTGGCGCGGCCGGCCCGGCCGGGTGTTCCGGGGCCGCAGCCGGCACGGCCGGTCGGTAAATGCGTGCTGTGCCGCGGGCAGTGCTGCCCCTGCCGCCCGATTCACTTAATTGGGTTTTTCTAGCATTAAAAGAGGTCCGTTATAGCAGTCTGCTGCAGCTAAACATGGTATTTTAAAATGTCAGTGAAGAAAACGATAAGCGGCAAAGTTGCATTTCACAGAAAACGGCTCCAGCTAGCCTGGGGAGAGCCGGGGAGTTTGGTACCTGAAGCGTTTGGTTTCCAACAGGTGAATGATGCAGAAAGCACGGTGGCAGTGGAGTTCACCCCCACCATTCCTCACTGCAGCATGGCGACGTTAATCGGCCTCTCCATAAAAGTAAAATTGATCAGATCTCTGCCCGAGAGATTTAAGGTGAGTCATGAAGTCGCTCTGGAAGGCAAAAGAGAGGAATTGTGTTTGAAAAGGAAAAAAACAGGGAGGGGGAAATCAAGCTAACTTGCAGTGAAAAATAACTGGAGCTTTTTTCATATGATGGGTGAGGGAAATGCTCCAGGAACCAGAGAGTGCAGTGGACTCAAACGCTGATGCACAACTGTGGTTCTGTGACAGCCATGTCAAGGGTGAGCGGGGTGTGGAGGGGACTTACCTGCAGTGCTCTGTGGCATGGCAGGAGGAGAGGTTGGTGCCTCAGCCCTGTGTCGGAGGGAGGCTTAAGCAGATGAGAATGCAGAGTTTTCTGTGATTTTAGACTTTATTTTATTTTTATTCTGCTGTATGCAGTGACTGGTACTGGCAAGAATGTCCTTTATTCCCTTCTTTTTGTTATTGTCTTATTTTCATTATATTAAATATTTTGAACTTGAGCTTCCAATGTTTTGTTGACTTGTCTCCTTTTTCTTTTGTGATGCTTTTTAAGCTGGATGTTCATATAACACCAGGAACACATGCGTCTGAGCATGCAGGTAAGGTTTTTAATGCTCTGTTGTTTGGTCATCTTGATTTTTTTTTTTTTAACTTTGCAAATTAGAGAGAAGACTCTCACACCTGCAGAGCAGCTGTTTAGCATCTGGGACTTTACATGTGTCAGCTTCTGGGGGATGTTACAGCACAGGAATGTGTAATAATGATATTATAAATGTTCTGTACTGTGCTTTAAACATCTCCTCAGGCATCCTGTGCTGTCAACTAGTCATTGATTTGCCTGGCTTGTGGAGGACTCAGAAAATGGGGAGAGGCTGGGGTGAAATTCCTGCTTGTGTTACACCTACACACATGTAGTTCCCTGTTGCCGAATCATAAACAGCTTGCTGGTTTAACTTGTGATAACAGGGTAGCTTTGACTAGCATTTGCTTAGCATCTGCAGAATTACTGCTCTATCTGAGTACCATAGCAACAGTGTGATTATGTGTCCCGATGCTACACAATGTCTTTGTTAAAGCATTTTACAATGTTTGACTGGTTTCTTGTGGTGGGTTTTTTTTTTCTGCACAGTTAATAAACAGCTTGCTGATAAAGAACGTGTCGCAGCTGCTTTGGAAAACTCTCACTTACTGGAAGTGGTGAATCAGTGTTTGTCTGCTCGATCATAACTGCCCAATGAGGAAATCGTTGGTATTCTGCTATGTTAAGCTAATTTTGTATATAAGTGGTGATGCTAGTGTCACACTATACGTATATCTATAAGCAAAATAAAGTCGCTTTGATTTTCTTAAATAAATGTTTCATTATTCCAACAAAAAATATTGTGTGGGAAATTGGCTTACAGACAGCTACAAAAATCTAATGAAAACTGACTTTTATATTTTCTTAGTCATTGCATAAGTAGGATTTTTCTTTAAAAAGATTTGTTTCTATCTGTTTTTAACTGGTTTCTCACTATCCGAAATCAGTTATAAGCTGCGTTTTAGAAGTAGATTTTGTATACTGGACTTTACAAGTACACTAAGTTAAATGGCAGTTAAAATCTTTACATTTGTTTGATGATTTTGGACTGCTAATGTAATTTTAGCTTGAGATCAAAAATTGTCTAAGTCCAGGTGTGCAAAGTTGTAATATTTTTATCAATAAGCGTAAACACTTCTAAATCATCTGCCTGGTTTTTACTATATTAACTTGGATTGGCCAAATATGGAGGGCTCTTTAGACCTGTATAAATGTGATTTATTTTTAAGTACTCATTACTCGTGGTAGGAAATACAGTATCTTTGAGGAAGGTTTTTTTTTCATGCACCTGCTGCAATATAGCAGAGAGTCATTCATAGTTTTCAGTATGAACAGTCCAGCTACCCGCTGCTGAAAGACTTTCCTGGCAAAGTTTGACAGCTAAATGACAACATTTGTTTTAAATGTATTGAGATTTTATAAAAACACCTAGCCTATGCTTCTGGTCTGGGAAATGTGGCATTTACTAAACTATTGTCTTTGGCAGAAATTGACAATAGAAAAATTCATTAAGATAGAATTCCAGAATAAATTTGAAATTTTTTAAAAGATGTTTCTAATCATGGACCCCCTATGGAAAAATAACAACCTGTTAAATCTTATCAGGTATTTTGGTGCCTGTGCATTTACAATGTTACCTTCAGTTACGTCATCAGTTGTCTAGAGAGTAACTAATACACATTTTTAAAAAAAGATTGTGCTCACCTGTTTGGTGGTAATTCTTCATATTTCATTAGTATTTTCTCTTGAACGGTTTCGGATGCTATTTTAAAAACAGTGAAGCTATGCAAACCGCAACCTAGTAGTCCAGTCTAGTCTGTGTTGAGCAGCTGAGGAAACTGAGGCAGTGGCGATCCAAGTGTGACATCTAAAGTCACATAGCAAAACAGGACAGAAACAAATCCAAATCTTCCCATTTCAGAAAAGAGGCACCCAGTTTGCACAGGGTTTCTACAGAAAGCCAGTTGCAGCAGCCTTAATCTGCTTATTTGGCTTAGCATCCTTTGAATGGTCAGCACTTGTTTGGTGTATGACTGAAACAATAAAGACAATATTTATGTAGTATTAATACTGGGAAAGGAGCACAGTGACCCAGCTGTTAATACTGTCTTTCCTCTCTGCCTCTCTTGCTGAATCACTGAACTGACTAGTTCTGATGTTGCCAATGTTTGCACCACAAATGAAACTTCAACCATGGCAATGCACACAGGCATCTTACAGGCGACATGCTTGGTTGGTTTGATTTTGTTTCCTGTTTGGTTTTTTTTTTCCTGTAGAAAATGCTCTCCCAGCTTTTGGGGAAGAAAGGAATGCAAGTACGTGCCACGGCAAAACAGAAAGATGACTAAGCTGCCAACAGATTGCTTCAACTTGCACTCCAAATAGAGAAGGAATCAGTAAATTACACTGTGTTGAATCTCTCTGTGGTTTTCACCACTACATAATAATAATGTTAAATAATTTATTGGGATGTTGGCACTTGTCTCATGAAGCGTGTTGTACACAGTAACCCCGGGGGTGCATCTTGCACCATTTACCTTTTCAGAGAAGCAACAGTATATGGTTAGATTGTTTAGATCTGTACTGTATAGTTGGAGGATGACTTTTCAGTAAAGGGACTGTATTGTTGGGACATCAAAGAAAAGGTCTGACTTCTGCTACTTAGAGATGGCGAATTCTATTAGTTTAGATCCGGCACTTTTTTTTAAACGACCTGGATGTTATATTTACAAGACGATAGAAACAATGCTAAGGACAAACCACAGTTACTTTGCTGAAGATCACAGGTCCTGCTGTACAGGCTTTCTTAGCTTGGATGCTTGCGGAAAGACAACATACCACCAGTTCTAGCAAAAATCCTCAGTTCCTTGGCTTTAATGGTCGTTAGCTGGCTCCTGCTGTATGGAGATAAAGTGAGAAAAGAAAAAATTCATTTGTTACAAATATCTCCTTTCGGATTTTTATTTTTCCAAAAAGCTACCCCTAAATTTAGCCTCTGGAATGCTTTGTAATAGGACACATTCCACCAGAAACTATGACCCTTTAGAGCAGCTGTGTTGAATACAAACATTCTCATTCAAGTCCAGGAAAAATGCCAGAAGCAGACGTCTGTTTCACATCCCTAGGGTCTGGGCAGAGCCTTCCGGGGCAGCTGAGTGGCATTCACTACTCTCAATCTGCAAACACTGCAGCAGCAGCTCGCCACAGCAACTGGCTGTGGTGGGCTGGAGTAACTTGTGGAATGTTTTGAGCCCACAGACCACCACAGCTGGTGCATTACATACTTGTGCCTGCCCACATAAGTCCTGTTCCCTGGGAGGAAGCAGACCTCTTCCCAGCTACCCCCATACTGTAATTGCTACCTAGTACCAGCAACCTGACATTTTTGAAGACTCTTCATCCCCCAATTTCATGAGTGGCAGGAAAGCAGCTCAGCAACTTTGTATCCAAAGATGCTACTGAACTGTCCATGGAAGAACTTCACACTTCAATGGTGGTATTTCTTGTGCTCCTTGGGTGGAGCAAAGTGTACCACACACTGGGAACAGTTGGTTAAAAAAATTATTTCAGTCTTCTGGCCATGCTTAAGATTGATGTGTTTATGTCAATAAAATGCTTCGATAAAAGACCTCTCTCTGGAGCTTTGATTTATAAACTACATGTTTTACAATGCTGGTTTTTGTGTTTTGGTTTTTGTTTGTTTGTTTGTTTTATAGCTGTTAAAAACATTTCCCTTTAGCCTGTAAAGCAGGCAACTATACCACTTTCCCTTCCTTTATGAAATGCACTGTTTGGCGTAAGTACAGACTCAAGTCTAAGTAAGTACAGACTCTAAGTGGCAGAGTCAAGTTTTTTCCCTAAACAAAATAAAACTTTATAGCAAAGTCTTTCAAATGTTTCTCTGGAAAGAAGAGAATAAAATCAGGAGAAGCTGACACTAGTACCTGTGTGTTTAAGTCTGCTAGTATGTCTCATAATCATTTTTCAGCAACATTTAATAGAAAGCATATAAAACTTTCTTCATTCCACAAAATGTTCAAAATACACAACGTTTTTACAAAAGTGCAAGTAGCAGAGAACCCTCATTTTGTTCAACACACTTCAGTAGTTGCAGAAGACATGCTATCACATTCTGTAACCTTCTTACGTATTTCTTTTTATGAATTCCTACATTTCTTCTTTCATGTCCTACCTCTAAGGAGCTTTTGCATCCTGCGGCAGGTTATCTCCATTCCTTAACTTTCCATTGTGAATCAAAGGAGCAGCCCTGCCTGCAGTGATAAAAACATCCTGGTTGATTGGATGGTTGGAAACCCTGCTCTCCCAGCCTCATTCCACAGACTCATCAGGGTCACTGAGTAACTCAACAGTTGTCTCATTAGTTTTGTTGCATTTCAGCATCTTGTTGCAGCACACGCAAGCTTCAGATGCCAGGGCTGTCCACTTTAGTACAGAAGTTAAAACAGTGTCTGGTTCCAGCTCCCAACACGGCACTGTCAGGAGAGAAGAGGGCAGAAGTTAATTTCCAGCAAGTCTGTGGAATAAATATAATGGGAATGGGGAGCAGGTGCTGCTTGGGAGCTTTGGGAAGGCACAGGAAGAGAAAGAGAAGGAAATGGCAGGAGCATACAACATCTCACTGTGCTGCCACTAGCTGGGGGATGCCCCCAGCCTCAGTCTGTGGCAACATGGAGAACAGGTAGCTACTACAGTGCTGGAGGCTTTGTTCTCCAAATTGAAGGAGAGCTCCCATTACCTTATGCTAGACATCTCTCACCCTTCTGGTTTCCTTGTTCCCTACAAGCTGGCTGCCTGAAAGAGAGACTCCCACGTAGAGCCTACAGCTAGGGCATGGCCACTGCATGGCCCTCCTCTCCCCTCTCTTGCTGGATGGTTATGCAGCCCATCCCATTACTGCCCTTGCACTGCTGCAGGTAACAAGAAAGCCTTCACTGTCCCACTGCAGGTAAGTCACAAACGGGAAGAGGAGACAGGAGGGTCAGGAGGACAAGTATCTACATAAAACTAATGCTTTAAGTTGACAAAGGGAGATGCACACCTTGCCAGATCGTAAGTGCAGTGGCCTGACTGTGGGCAGCAGCTGTGTCTGTGCTAAGCCAAGCAGGAAGACCCAAGCAACTGGCAAGTCATCACTGCCAAACTCTCTCTGCTGGATGCGATCCTCCCCGTTATTTTGATGTAACTTTGAGATGATGGTTTATCATAGCACTTTTTTTCCTAATCGACACAAATTTTTATCATCTGGGTTCCTATCAGACATGTCACATGTGGCTTTGACCAAAATAACCTCAGTAGATTGTCAGGAGCTTGCTCCACCCCAGTTGATTTATCTACACTTTTGCTAATAGAAGAGCTGGCACATGCTCTGTCTAAGGATTATGAAGGTATATAAGCAGCAATATTCTTTATTTCCTCTGCAAAGTGACAAATAAGTCATCCATGGAGCCTCAAATGCTTGCAGAGAAAAACAATAAATGCCAATAGATTCCGAATTATTTCCTAACAGTTTTAACAGAACAAAACTAGTTTTATTACTGAAAATCAGAAAATAGTTTCATTAACACTACAGTCAACTTTCTTAAAAACACAATTACTTTTGAGGTAGATAGAAAATAATGATTAGGAA